TTTACAAATATAGATAGCAAAACTGCAACCTGCATTTCACAAGCAACTTATGAGCAGGTAAAGTTTGTAATGGTGCAGTAGGCTTGGTGGTGAGCTGTGAAGCATAAGCGAGGAATCGCATACGTCGAATCGAGTCGTCGAACGTCGAACCTTACCACTGAACCACCACGACTCGATTCGACGTATGCGATTCCTCGCTTATGCTTCACAGCTCACCACCAAGCCCCTACTGCACCATTACAAACTTTACCTGCTCATAAGTTGCTTGTGAAATGCAGGTTGCAGTTTTGCTATCTATATTTGTAACCTTATAGACTCTATCGATCTACCCAGGTCTCCATTCAAAGTTCCACGGTAAGTTGGCGGACTTCCCTGGTCAGTATCGCTGTAGTAACTAATCAGAATGTTTGTTCATTCACTCATTAAGAAGCATGATGAGGTGATTAGTTTGAAATAAAGACTTTTGTGACAGTTAACTGAAGCCAGATGCTGTGCAAACCAATTAAAGTAGCCACTAGGTGTGGTTGCATCTTCCTCCACATATCCTCCCACTTCTATTGTGACCACTCTATCGTTGACATCCCCTTTCTTGCTTTCCTTGCCAGCTTCCAGTTTCGATCAGCTGTTGTCACTTTTTGTCGCCCACCAGAAGTGTTCCCGTATCTCACCCAGTAATTTATCTATTGGCCCAGCTCCCCACTGCTGCTGTGGCACTGCCATCACTATGAATTTGGTGGGATCAGGGTACAGCATTGTGTGAAACGGTGGTGTCAGTACGATCCCCCCCTTCCCCAACACCTACCACTTTCCCACATTTTCCAGTCTTTCACCCAAAAACTTTTCGTCGGGTGGGGGGGGAGAATAGTTCAAATGGGGAAAATCGTCACGAAAAGTCGACAACCAGGAATTTTTTCCCCATCGCGGCAAAGAGCCACATACGCTCCCCCACCCCAGCGGAAAACTACGATCCCCTGTGTGTTTCACACAACGATGCTGTACCCTGGGTGGGATTCTTTCTCTAACGGCTTACCAGCTCATCAGTTGTAATCACTTCCTCTCACAAACACGCCAATAGAGTTCCTTTCCTGCCACACATGTGCACACACGTACGCATGCGTGCTTGCACACGCGTGTCCCTTCGAGGGATAGGCCACGCATTCCATTTCCTTTTGAAATCGTAGTGGCTTATTGAATGCGTTGCGGCCTATATCATGACTTGCAGCATGCCGATGGACAAGTCAAGGTTATAACCTTCCCAGCCGAATCTGAAAACAATTCGCCGTCGGATAAGACTTGGTTGGCCTCGGGACTTGAACTCCGGACCGGGGGGGGGGGGGTTAAAACAAGCCACTTGCCAATACACCACCTCCCATAGTAAGATATGATGTCAATCTGATAGGATGTTCACATCGCACAGTGTTTTTCCATTGCGTCGCCTAGTGAGCACTTCATGTGTTGATACTAAAAAAATAAGGATTTAAGGAAGGTTTTCCAATTTCAGGATGTGGGCGGCACATCTGGCCGCCATCGCCGCTGTTCTACTTAGTAGCCATGTTTCAGCTGTAGATTTCATGGCAAAACGGGTCTTTCTTAAAACACCTGCGTCCTTTGTCAATCTTACCTCAGAGGCCTGGAAAGTTCATGGTAAGAGTTTTGCGTTGCTATTAGCTTTTTAGTTATTGTATTCTGACAGGGAGTCAAGTTGTCAATATTTGAAAATAGCTTGAAAAAAAGCTCGAACTTA